CCTCGGTTTATAGCGGCGATCTGGTAAAAAATGGCAGTTCCTTCTGGCGCCCCCCCCCCCCATGCGCCCACCAATTTTCAAACAAATTAGGAAGAATGAAAAACACAAAATTTGAAATTGCCATTTTTTAAAATTGTGAGAACAAGTAATACAATCTCTGATTTTCTCTCTCAAACAGGAAAACACAAATCACAAAGCGTTTTGAAAAGTCCTGTTAATTGTGATGTTGAGATTTAAGTCTCTTTAATGTTTCCATTTCAGACACATCAGAATCTCATTTTGCGTGCCTTTTCTTTAGCAAATTTTAGCAAATCTTTAGCAAATCTTTAATGTTTCCATTTCAGGCACATCAGAATCTCATTTTGCATGCCTTTTCTTTAGCAAATTTTGTCATGCCACGCTCATACTTCTAAATAACAACAAATAATAAATAAATACTGCACAAGTGGTTTACTGCACAAAAATGTTTCAGGTTTCAGGCACACACCAAGTGATCTATATTCTTTTACCCTTAACACTTTAATGCCTACACTTTAAACCAAGAACAAAATATGCAGGAGTCATATATGTCTTAAAAATGTGTTAGCACAGAGTGCAGTAGTCAGCAGCTCCCTTTTGCTTGTAGAGAACAGGGCACTGATGCTTTTACATTTCAGAAACCTGCCAAAGGAGTACAATTTAATATGCTATGCCATAACTGATACTTTACAGAGTTATGGCAACAACAAAAAAGATCATCTAGGAAAAATATTTTTTTTCTATGACTTCAAGATTTCCAAAACTGTTACATCTCTAACAAGATGTCAACTATTTCCCCAGATACACTCAGGCAACATACTCACAGGACCTAATAACTTCAGCAGTATTGTCTCTGACTCATTCATTCATTTTGCAAAGTAATATATCCCATAAAGGATCAATACAATGCCTTTCTGCTATCTACCTTGGACAAATAGGTCGCTGCCTATGGGAAGGAATAAATGGATGCAAATCTGACATTAGAAATCACAATATTCAGTAATCAGTGTGGGAACATTTCAATCTTCCTCGACAAAGCACTGCTGCTATGACATCTGCCATCCCTCAACAAAATAACTTCAAAGGGAGACTCCAGTGTGAAACTCTTGAAGCAGAATTCATTAAGAAGTTTCATATTATCTGGCCAGGGTCAGTCATCAAATGAGAGTGGAACAGAGAGGAAGGAAGGAAAGGATTGCAGGAATATGATGAGAAAAAGAGTGCGACTGAACAGAGTAGATAATCCTGGCCTTAACAGGAGATCAGACATGGTGCTGAAGACTCTTTGAATAATGAGATGTAGCAAGATAGATGGAAAATGGAGAGCATGGATTTAGAAGGGACACAGTCTGTCTACACATGCTGGATACTATACTTTCAATTAGTTTTCAATGCACTTTAACAATAATTTGCAAGTGGATTTTGCTGTTTCAGTAAAATTCAGTTGTGAAGTGCACTGAAAGTACACTGTTCAGTATGTGTGAAAACAATTTATGCCTCAAAAGTATTCTGCTGCTTGAAGAGAAATAGCCAGCAGAGGAGAAAATTGGGGCAAAAAAAAAAAATGAATCAAATATGGGGATAAACTTAAGGCAGAAACCACAAAGTCCAAAGAGGAGACAGAAGAGGGGACCAAAGTCATAGAAAACCCACTGAAACCAGTGGCAAAAGACATGATGTGTATATCTGGGTAGAGCACAATGCTGGAAAAATCCAGGATGTGAATTATCATTACAATAGAGCAATATTCTAAACTGTGCAGATCCAGTTGAAGCACCCAGAGATGAGTTCTCAGGGAAATTTTTTTAAAAAAAAACTGGTGGTGGAGGAGAGCTAAACATTGTCCGGAGCTTTGAAGGAGCATATTAGGGAAGGAAAGTTGGGATGAGGTAGAAATCACCCAAGGCATGGCTGATACTGAACTCTTCGAATGAGTAATCAAAGTTTGGAGGAGGGGGAGGAAAAAAAGTTTGTGAGGGGCTGTAACGGGGGGGGGGGGGCATGGACTTTGAAAGTCCAGAAGTTGGAGGAGTAAACAGGATTGCCGACCTTCAGGTGGGACCTGAAGATCTCCCAGAATTAGAACTAGATCACAGATCAGTTAGATCAGAGATCACTGACAGAGATCAGTTCCACTCGAGAAAATGGATGCTTTGGAGGATGGACTCTTTGGCATTCTATACCACTGAAGTCTCACCCCCTTCCCCAAACCCCTCTGTCCCCAGGCTCTACCCCCAAAATCTCCAGGTATTTCCAACCCAGAGCTGGCAACTCTGGGAAGCCCTGGCACACACTGGAAGGGCAGAGACTCAACCCACTGTCTCCAAGGACTAGGTATAGGGGGCAGAGAAGGAGAGGCTTCCAAAAAGAAATGGGGAGCAAGGGCGGCTGCTCCAGAGCCAAGAACAGTCCAGGATCAAGCAGCCATTCCAAAGAAGTGCTGAAGGGGAAAGGAGAGTGATGGATGGGGGG